GCTCGCCCTCGCACCCGCCCGTGCTCCTCGGGCCGGCTCACACGCGTGCACACTCACCCGAGAACTTGGCGTGCACCTCCGCGAGAGGCGCCCGGTGTTCCCCAGCTCCTCCCGGGAGACCCAGGCCCCCGCCCCGCCGCGCAGCCCTGGCGCCTCCCGCTGCCCCGCCTCTCGCCTTCTCCGGCTCCCAGGGCTCCAGGGCCCGACCACCCGGCCTAGTTGCCATAGCGACGCTGGTTCTCACGCTCACCCCCCCAACCCACAAAGCACCCAAGGGGGAAGGAAAGAGGGCAGCTGTCCTACCCCTCGGTGTCCGTGGGCGTGGCTTAGAGATCCGCAGTGACCTAGGGACCCGCCAGCAAAGGAGGGACCTGCCTGCGGCTCCTGCTGCTCTGAGGAACCTCATTCGAAGGAGACTGGCTTCCCCAAACATCTTTCCTTCTTGTGACCCAAACCAGGCCCCGGAACCTGGGTCTCTTTACCAGATCCACACCTCCTGCCACCCTCTGCCATCCCCAGGTCTGTCCCTCAAGCGGGGGAGGACCTCAGGGCTTGAACCTGCAGTCATGAAGAGTCTGCGCCGCTCTGCTTCCCAGTAGCCTCCGTCTCGTTTTTTTCCTATTTGGATGAGTCTAGGTGGGCAGCTCATCTTGGCCTTGAACTCTTGGCCCTCCTGCCTCCCTGGGATTACAGACTGGAGCTACTGAAGGCTTCAGGCCTAGCCTTTGATCTTCTTGTGTCCTAAACTTACCTCCGGGAAAGCCCAAATCCTCCGAGAGGCCCTTCAAGGCAGGAACTCCCTGCCCACCGCAGGAAGGTAACACGTAACCTGAAGTTTCAGAGTCCGCCTCCACCTCTAGGCCTCTGGGCCTTTGCTCAGGTCCTCTGCTCCTGAGAACTGCTCTTCCCAGGTCGTTCCAAGTCACCTGTTCCTAGCAATCTTCGGGAGCACGCCCCACAACGACCTTCCCCGAAGATCCCTCAGACTCAGCTCTGATGGCAGTTGTGTCTGCCTGTTTACATTCTGTCTCCTATCAGCCTGGGAATTGTCGCAGTGAAAAGGGGCTGATTCATCTCTGAGTCCCAAGTGCCCCAGACTGGGCCTGACATTAAATCAGCCTCCCTAAATATTGGGACTCAACAGAGAAATTCTGCTGCCCAACATGTGACTATGCTGACCACTGATTAACTGGACCCTTGAAGACAGTCAAGGGCTGGGGGCCCTGGTACAGTGTGTGTTTAGCATGCAATGGCTTTGATCCCCAGCACTGAATAAAAAAGATAACATGGTAAATGCTATCTGGAAATGTTGTGTTTGTATTTTAAAACTTTTTAAAAGTAAGAGTACTATGAAGTCAAATTATATAACACAACGCCTGTCACCGACCAAATGGGCAAAGTTCAGAGTGTGGGTACACTTAGCACACTAAGACTGTGGGTAAATAAATTAGTGACAGTCTGCTGCAGCTGGTCTGACACTGGATGCCGATGGATACACATATTCTTTGACCCTGAAATCCCAGCTCTCTGGCTTTATCCTATACATATACCAGGTGACATACAAAATAATAAAAGCTAAAGAGTCTTAGCTACAACTTCTAAAAAAGAAACAAATGAAATGTCTATGCAAGAGAGACTGGTTAATCAGCTATGGCATAATTTCTCGTATCAAAATAGTATGCAGCCGTGAAAAAGGAGGCTTTGGACAGACAGACAGACAGAAACAGACACATACACAGATATATACATACAGAATCGTCTTCGCAGTCTCATTCCTACTTAAACCAAGATGCAGAGTCAGAGCAGCACAATGGAACGCTGCCATTTGAATAAGGGAAAGACCTTACACACGTTTATTTGGGCATATATTATTTCCAGAAGACTGCACAAGAAAATGGTAACTATGGTGACTGCTGGAGAGTGAGGTTGCTGTGGAGCAGAGAAGGGCAAGCATAGGAAAGACTTAGCCCCGATCATACAACCTTCTGCGTGTTTTTTCTTGTTGAGTCAGGGTCTCGCTATGTAGCCCTGGCTGGCCTGGAACTCACTATGCAGACCCGGCTGGCCTCAGATATCTGTCTGCCTCTGCCTCCAAGCACTGGGATTAAAAGTGTGTGCTAGCCGGGCGGTGGTGGCGCACGCCTTTAATCCCAGCACTCGGGACGCAGAGCCAGGCGGATCTCCGTGAGTTCGAGGCCAGCCTGGGCTACCAAGTGAGTTCCAGGAAAGGCGCAAAGCTACACAGAGAAACCCTGTCTAAAAAAACCAAAAAAAAAAAAAAAAAAAAGTGTGTGCCATCTGAATGCTTCTAAATCGTGCCACATGCATGGCGCCTCTTCCAGAGAGCACGTTAAAATCATATGCATGTGAGGGAGTGCGATAACTCAGATGATGATGGCATTCGCCACACAAGCTTGAGTTTGCTCCCAGGAGCCCACACGGTTGAAGGAAGGAGAGAATTCCTACAAGTTGTCCTCTGACCTCTGCACATGGGCCATGGCACATGCTGGCACACACAGACACCAATCGATACCTATTAAAGTTTTAAATTTGTCCCTTTGTGTGTGCAAGACCAGACTCGGAGCCTTGTATAGACTAAGTGTGCATCCTTCCACTGGCTGTAGCCCCCAGCCTAAAGCAGGAAGTTTTTCAAGCAGCCATGAGGCTCCTTTCATAACTCTCCAGGGTAAGGGAGGAAGCAAGAAGCCAGGCCTGCTGGCACATGCCTGCAATCCCAGTTCTTCAGAGGCAGAAAGATTGTCCGTAAGTTCTAGGCCAGCCTGTCCTGCATAGTGAGTTCCAGACCGACCAGAACTACAGAGCAAGGGCGCTGTGGGCCTGGAAACAGCGGGAGGCAGTAAAGGGGAGCAGTGATCTGTGAATCCCCCACTTCTGTCTTCTCATGGGCACAGCTCGGACCCATCCCAGCATGCCTTGCAAAGCCTTCCCAATTCAGAGTGGGAAAAACTCTATACCCAACATACTTACGTCCCATTACCCCATCATGTCTTGAGTACCTTCTATGCAACAACCTCCAGCCTCACGGTAGGGAGACAGACACACAGACGATTCCAGCAGGAGGTGGGGGAAGGGTAAAGAACGGCCCACAGCCTGGGTGCCTCAGGGCTCCCTTCCTACGAGAAATGTGTCAACTGATATCGCCAAGCTGAGGCATTAACTGGATCTAGAGTGGAGCCGGAGTGGCTCAGGCGAGGTCTGAGAGCATCTGGGAGGCAGTCAGGACCTTGAGTCAGCCTTATAAACAGTATGCACGGAGGGCATGCCTGTGATCCCAGCACTCGGGAGGCAAAGGCAGGATCCCAAGCCTGAAGCCAGCCTGGGCTAGGAAACATAATCCTATCTCAGAAAAGTTAATCAATTGATAAGAACCTAGAATACAAAGGGTGGTCTGAAACCAGTGTGGCTAAAAGTTTGGAGGACGGGAAATGGGATGACCAGGGTAGACAGGCTGGCCAGGAAGCTCTCATACAGAAGGCTTTCATGTAGTTCGTTGGGTCTGAATGGTTCTTGCTGAATGGCTGAAGCTGGGTCTTAGGAGGTAGGAATCAGTGTGGCTCAACCAGACCAAAGTCTGTGGCAGTCAACAGATGAAGGGCCTTGGCTTGAACAGGAGGGAAACCTAGAGAGGGAGGTAGGGAATCACATTTGAGATTTCTGCCTCGCCTCTCCTCGCCCTCCTCCTCTCCCTCCTTCCCCTTCCTCTTCATCCTCCTCCCCATCTCCTTTGAGACAGGATCTTGGTATACATCCCAGGCTGATTGGGATCCTTGATTCTCAGCCTCTACTGTGCTTGGATTACAGTTGTGCACCACATCCAGAGAGACGAGCTTTCTGGTGGAAATGGCCCAGCAGATGTTCACTTGGGGACTGTCAGGTAAGAAGAAAGACCTGAGTTGATCCTCAGGTTCCTGGTAGAACGTCTAGGAAAATCATGGAAGCATTGGGTGAGATGAAGAGAGGGGAGCAGTTTTGAGTAAGAGAATAAGGAGCTTCGTGTCGGGTTATTGCTCTCGAGATGTTTTTGGACATGGAGACATCAAGCAGGAAGTTGGGTATAGGAGTCTGGAGCTCCGAGGAGAGGTCTGGGCTAGAAATATACATTTGTGAGTCATCAGCATATAGATGGTATTTAAAGCCATGAGAATAGATGAGATCACCTAGGGAGAGGGAATATATATGAGAAGAGAAGGCCAAGGCCCAGGCAACGAGGAGTCTGGAAAACTGGGGGGGGGGTCCTGTGTTGGAGTGAGGGACAGGGCACCCTGCTGAGACACAAAATGAAAAAGAAGTAACCCCCACTGGTGGACATCACCAAAGGAACTCTAGTGAGGGGTGGGGGGGTGACAGAGCCCTGGAGAGCTGTGGGAGTCCAGGCAGCAGGTGCAGCTGCTGTCAGTGTCCCCCTTCCAAACCACCATGCACCTGTGAGCTGTTTCTCATGATCCCAGAAGGCGGAGATTACCATCCTTCCGTCCTTCCTTCCCTCCCTCCCTCCTTCCTTCTCTCCCTCCCTCCTCTCCCCTCCCTCTGTCCCTCCTCCTCCCCCTCCCTTTTTCCTTCCTTCTCTCCCTCCTCCTTCTTTTCCCCTCCTCCCTCCCTCCTTCCCTCCCTCTGCACACGTTCGTGTGTGCCATGGGGTGCCTGTGGAAGGGCAGCCTCATGGATCCTCCTCACCTTCTGCCTTGAAACAAGGTCTCTTTCTCTATTTTTCCCCAGTTGGCCAGAGAGCTTCCAAGAAGTCTTCTGTCCCCACCTCTCATCTCCACCTCTCATCTCCACCTCTCATCTCCACCTCTCATCATCTCCAAGCAGGAGAGCTGGATTACACATGTGCAGCTTTGTATGGGTTCTGGGGACCTGGTTTCTTTTTTGAGACAGGGTTTCTCTGTGTATCCTTGGTTGTCCTGGAGCTCTCTCTGTAGACCAGGCTAGCCTCGAACTCACGGAGATCCTCCTGCCTCTGCCACCCAAGTGCTGGGACTAAAGGCATGCGCCACCACCACCCAGCTAGTTTTGATTTTTGAGATAGGCATTGTCTTACTATGTATCCCTGGCTGTCCGGGAACTCAATAAGATCCATCTGCCTCTGCCTCTGCCTCTGCCTCTGCCTCTGCCTCTGCCTCTGCCTCTGCCTCTGCCTCTGCCTCCTCTGCCTCTGCCTCGAGTGCTGGGATTTTATCCCCAAGGTGTGTGCTACCATGCCCAGCGGTTCTGAGTATTTGAATTCAGGTCCTCACACTTCCGCTACTGCAAATGCTCAGCCCTCCCCTAGCTCTATCCACATCCTGGAAATCATGCTCTATCTAAGCCATAAACAGAGTCCAGTGCAGCACACAGCAGGAGTTCTATATATTTTCTAATAGTCAGATAAAAGAATGGGAGATCTTGAGGGGAAAAGATCTCATCTGCCTTACTCTGCTGGCTGGTAGAATGCGGGTGGGTTTTTTTTTTGTTTGTTTGTTTGTTTTTGTTTGTTTTCTGTTTTGTTTTGTTTTTGCATTGGTATTTTGCCTGCATGTATGTCTGTGTGAGGGTGTCAGAACTTGGAGTTAGAGACAGTTGTTAGCTGTCATGTGGGTCCTGGGAGTTGAACCCAGATCCTCTGTAAGAGCAGTCCGTGCTCTTAACCACTGAGCCATCTCTCCAGCCCCGGGGGTGAGTTTTGTTGTTGGTTATTTTTCTGTGTATATGTGGGTGGGGTGTACATATTTGTGGGGCCTCATGCATAGAGGCCACAGGTACATTTCCTCAGGACTTCCCATTTGGCTTCTTGTCTTTCTTAAGCAGAGTTGGGGGTTGGTAAAGCTGTTTTAATAGAATTCAGAAGGACACACCTGAGTATTTGAGCTTCTCAAAGAAGAATCTCAAAGGTAAAAACATGCCCAGGTGTGGGTGCTAGCCATACCCAGAGGGTATTTTCTGCCTGGTTTTCTTGAAGCAGAGCTTTTCATACGTGTTTTGTTTATTTCAGACGGGATCTTGCTCCGTATCCCTCCTGCTCTAGCCTCCAGAGCCCTGGGATTTTGAGGTGTGCACCCCCTGCCTAGTTCTCTAGGTGTTTTTGTTCAGAAAATAAAAGCTGAGCCAGATACAGTGGCGCACACCTTTAATCCCAGCACTCAGGAGGCACTGAGAGGCAGATCTCTGTGAGTTCCAGGCCAGTCTGGTCTACAGAGAGAGCTCCAGGATAGCCAGGGCTACATGGTGAGACCCTGACTCAAAAAAACAAATTAAAAAAAAAAAGAAAAGAAACGCCGATTGTGGCAAGGTTGTTATGTGGGTTAACAGGTGGGTTGATGCGGGAAAGACCGAATCCTTTAAGGAGGAGCCACCTAGGGGGCAAGTGGAGTAACAGAGTAGCTAGGAGTCTGTGTAACAAGCGCAGGGAGGCACCGGCGCAATCAAGGAGACCCTGAAGTGTCCTTGGCCCGAGTGGGCTGGAATACATTTGTGATAGACAGGCCTAACTGCCAATCAGAGGCGAGCTACCTCTTACAACTCGAGATAGGGCCTGTGTAGTGCAAGTCGCAATTAGGAAGTGCCACCAGGAGGACTGTGGGAACTAGAGGGGAGAGACAGGGATGTGGGGGTGTGGCGTGGTGTTGGGGGCGCACACATGCCACCAGTGCCACCAAAGGCGAAACCGAGTTTCGGTGAGGCGAGTAAACTAGGTTCTTTGAATGGCCCAAAGACTAGCCTTGGAATAAGCTGGGGGAGTTCCTACGACTCCCGACCGCCAGTCCCGAGAGAGGAGCCTGCCTGCCGCACCCGGTGTGACCTGTGGGAGAGATGATGGCGCGGTCGGACGAACACTGCTGCCACCTGGTGGGAAAGACTGCTATTTCTCTTGGTCCTCATCTCCGTGCTCTTCCGTCTCGGCTAAGACCAAGTCTGGAGATGGATGGATGCAGACCCCTGGGTCTGGGGACAGAGGGCAAAGGGAAGCCCCAGATGGAAAGATGCACACCCCTGGGAAGTGGAGAGCCTCAGCGCACCTCTCTCCCCTGCACATTGGTTGCTCCTCCCTCTTAGAGCTTCTGCAAATTCCATGAGCCAATCTGTGCAAATTCCTTGGCGTTTTAATAAGCATTCAATAAACAACAGTTGTGGTTGAGCCAAAGGACAACTGGAGACGCGTAGCCCGCTTCACCTCCTAAACATAGCCGCTGCACAAATAAACTGTCGCATAGTCCCAGCTCCGTCCTGGGACACAAATGCTCAATCGGCTGAACCCAAGGCCTTGGCCTTGTGTGTGTTGAGCAAAAGCTCTACCCCTGAGCTACACCCCTGGACCCCACCGCTATTGCTGTTATTTTCAGTGTCATCCTCGAGGATGAGGCTCAGTGGCCTCTTCTGCGCCAGGAACTGGAAACCCCCCACAGGCAGGCTCCTGGAATGGCTCTGGCCTGTGACATCATAGAATCCTACACATTCATAGTAGCGGAGAGGTTATGAAGCTGAGGCAATGGGTGCCTGTATGGGTGTGCATGTGGATGGCTGGGTTGGGGACCATAGAAACAGGTGGGAAGCTGGGCTCAGGAATGGTAGGAATAAAAGAGGCTTGAGAATAAGGAGGAAGCTTGGCTGTGAGCAGGAGGCCAGCCCAGCCCCAGACCTTTCCATCTCCCTCCCCTCCCTCTTTCTTATCTCCTTTCCTTTTCCCTTCCCTCTCTCCCTCCATTTCATTTTACTGTATTGTTTTCAGGCAAAGCTTCACTCACTCTGTCACCCAGGCTGACTGAAGCTCACCATGCAGCCCAAACGGACTTCACACTTGCACCCTTCGCTTCCCAAGGGGTAGAATCAGAGCCGTGAGCCAAGGCTGGCCTTTCTCTCTCATTCTGCCTCTGTGTCTTAGCCTCCCTGTCTCAGACAGCTCAGCCAGCCCAGGGGACAAGACAAGCCGGCCTCTTGGGGTGGGCGCAATGGGTCTTCAGGGCTCCGCTCACACACTTTGCTTTGGCTCCTAGCGCCCAGAAGAGACGGCATCGAGGCCTCGATACCAGGAGCCAACTCCCGGCTCTTCGTAGACAGGCCTGACTTCTTTGATTACCCAGACTCAGACCAAGCTAGTCTTGCTGCTGTGGCCCAGTTTATTGGAGAGAAACCTGTGACCTTTGTTAGGACAGGTATGAACCAGCTTGATGGAGGGACCTCCCTCATGGCAGGGCCTGGCAGAAATGTGCTCTTGTCTGTCAGGTTCTGGCCCTGGGCTCTTCCAGCACATCCTGCTGGGCGCATTGGTGGTGGCCTTCTTCCTCTTCCTTTTCCAGTTCTGCATGCACGTGTGAGTCCCGTGCCCATGCCCCACGTGCTACCCCGCCCCTTCCAGAGGACCCAAGTCTCCTATAGGCCTTCCTCATTTGATTCCCACACTTCTCAGGAGCTTCCAGAAAGGGGCCTAAGGAGCCGGACAGGAGCCCTGGACCCTGCTGTGTGCCACACGTCTACCACGTCTTCTGTTGAGGATAAAAAAAGACGGTGCCTCCGTCCTTCCTGACTGCACAGTGGCCCTCAATGTGGCCATCCACCCCCCACCACCTCCTTCTTCCTTGACTGCCCAGTGACCCTCTTATGTATGGCCATTCACACCTCCCCTTCCTCCCAGGCTGCCCAGTGATCCTCTGTGTGGCCATCTACCCCACACCCCCATCTCCTCCTTCCTCCCTCACTGCTCAGTGGCTCTCTATATAATCATCCATCCCCTTACCTCCTCCCTCCCCAGCCCCCAAAAAACTGGACCCAAGGGTCTTGCTGGCGTTCACGAAGATCGTCTTTATTAGCGGTCTGTAAAAGCACCTCCCAGGGTCTGTGACCCCAGACTGGAGGAAGCCGTGAGAGGTCTGTAGCACCAGGGACAAGCCAGGGCCCGAGGGCAAAATGTGCAGCCTAACAGAAGGGGCTGGTGCCCGTGCCTGCCCCCAGGGTTGCTCAGCACTGGGGGGGTTGTAGGGGAGCAGTCACCTCCCTCCCCGCACCCCAACAAATTAGAGATAGGCGAATAAATAAATAAGGTTCCTCAGATTGGTCTCCAGAGGAAGGAGCTGTGGGGGTCGCCTGCCTTCTCATGGCCCACATGGGATGAGTTAGGGTGTCTTCCTTCTCCCAGGTGATGGGGAGCAGAGAGGAGCTTGCAGCAGCAGAGCTGGGATGTCCTTGGCGGCGGGGCCACCCCCCCGTGTCCCTCGACTCCGTGGTCCCACTGAGCCCAGCTCTCCAGACCTCGGCACACTGTCTGACACACTCTCTTCCCTTCATTTTGTTAGCACAGAGGCCGGGAGGGGCTCTTCATCCGGGTCCTCTCTCTCCCTGCCCTTCCAGTCATCCGCCCTCAGCTCCTGAGGGTGTTTTGCTGCTCCCTGTTCTGAGTCCTTCTGTCTTGGGGCTGTCAAGGCAAGGGACTCCTGGCTCTCACCCCCCCACACCCCCCCACTGGCCCCAAAGCTCTGTCTCCACGGGGGGCTGGGGAGGGGGGGTTCCCAGGCCCCAGCCTCAGTCCTGAGTCTGACAAGGAGAGGGTGGTGGGGAACCCCGGGGTCGGAAGAGGCGGCAGGCCCCGCGGCAAATGAGGAAGAACCAGTAGAGCTGGGGTGCCAGGAGCAGCGCGGCGCCCAGGTTGACGTGGGCCGGGATGGCCAGGGGCACTGAGAGCAGAGGCAGACCGGCGTGGCGCCCGTAGGTCCAGTACAGGTAGGGGAAGAGCAGCACCCGGCAGCACAGGAAGCTGAGCAGCATCAGGGCGCCGTTCACCTTGTGCAGCAACGTGTGCTGCTGCTTGTACTGTGGACAGAGCAGCGTGGCAGGGAAGGGAGGGCCCGGGGACCCGCAGGGCCCGGGGACCCGCAGGTTCCCACAACTGCCTCCCCTCCACCCGGCCTGTGGCTCCTCCCACACCGACCACTGCACCTGGACAGTGCTCTTTTTCTTATTTTTGCTTTTTTTGTTTTGTTTTCGAGACAGGGTTTCTCTGTGTAGCTTTGGAGCCTGTCCTGAAACTCACTCTGTAGACCAGGCTGGCCTTGAACTCACAGAGATCGACCTGCTTCTGCCTCCCAAGTGCTGGGATTAGAGGCGTTCATCACCATCACCGCCCGGCCTTATTCTTGCTTTTTGAGGCAGATTCTCACTACGTAGCCCAGGCTAGTCTCCAAATCCTGATCCTCCTGCCTCAGCCTTCCCAGGGCTAGTGTTTTAGCCACACACTACCATGCTGAAAGGTTGCATGGTCTTTAAAGAATTCCCAAAAGGCCCCAGACATGTCCGCCCCACTTCCACACGCCCATCGACCCTCGGATCTGCTCTCACCTGGATGAGGATCTTGCCCAGGCAGACGAAGGGAGTGCTGACCTCGGCCATCAACATGCAGCCTAGAAAGAAATCTCCCTTGCCCTGTCGCCACACCTAGGGGAAAAGGCAAGAGCCTAAGGAGGGGTGTCTGCGTGCCTTGCTCGCATCACCTTCAGAGATGCTTTCTCTCCCCACCCGCGTGTGTATGTGTGTGTGTGTGTGTGTGTGTGTGTGTGTGTGCATGTAAAGGCCAGAGGTCAGTTTCCTCAATTGCTCTGGATCTTATTGGTTTGAGGCGGAATCTCTCACTGACCTGGAGCTCACTCATTTGGCCAGAGAGCCCCAGAAATTCTACTTTCACTTCCCCAGAGCTGGGATTAAGCACACACCACCCAGCCCAGCTTTTCAAGAAGAGCCAGGTGCTTGTGCTTACAGAGCAGTCACTGTATCAACTGAGCTGTCTCCCAGCCCTATTCCCAGTCACTGTATCAACTGAGCCATCTCCTGCTCTATTCCCAGTCACTATCAACTGAGCCTTCTCCTCGGTTCTATTCCCAGTCACTGT